CAGCAGGAACCCTCGAAGCAGTACTTGGGGGATTCCCAACCTTATTCGTTAAACAAGTTTGCTGCTCACAGGCCTAAGTTCATCGATGCTTCACATTTGTTCCGGCATCCGCATCGAGCTTCGCGCCCTGATCATTTTGTCATCATCTTTCGCGGCCTTCCAGGTCTGCTATATGTCTCTGTTGTATTCATCAAGTGTTATTTTGGTGCAAGTTTATTGTGTTTGTTTGCTAGGACCTAGGCTATTTGTTTGTTTATGTATAAGGAATGGGAATAGTGTGGAATGTGGATGATGCAAATTCGTTTCTAGCATACATGTGATGATGGAGGTTACAAGTTTTCATTTTTGTGGAAGGTTAAAAGTGTTGGTAATTAACCAAGTAATTTGTGCTGCTCATCTTGAAGAAGTGCCTGCTTTTGTGATTTTTTGGGTCTTGGACTATGAGAAGACTTTTGTTTGCTGCAATGGTAGTAATTTGTTGAACATTTTGCGTGAGGTTTGATTTTTTTCCTTCTGTTGAGATCTTTGTTGCATGTTTGAGTCTGTTACAGGTAGTGGTAAGAGTTACTTGGCAAAGATGTTGCGTGATCTTGAGGTTGAAAATGGCGGTGATGCTCCACGAATTCATTCTATGGATGATTATTTTATGACTGAGGTTGAAAAGGTTAATGAGTATGCATTCTTGCTTTTTATATTGAATAAGCATTCTTACTGTGTCCTATTTGTGGTTTTTGACGAGTACTGTAAGTTGTGATGGATTGATGGTTATATTTTCTGTTTAAAAGGTTGAGGATAGTGAGACATCAAAATCTTCAAGTTCAGGCAGAAACAAGAAGCCCGTAATGAAGAAGGTCATGGAGTATTGTTATGAACCTGAAATGGAGGAGGTAGCTTTTGCATGTATTGGCATCAGGATTTCAAATGTTTGTGGTCATTTGTTTAGAACTATAGTACTAGCTTTGTATTGTCCATGCAAGTATTCTGGTTGGAAATGAGTTTTGGAAAGGGCTGTAGAGGGAGAGGGCATTACGCGAGTGACCGTGCCTAGTTTATTGTTTATCTTAGGGCATTTGAGCCTTGAGGCTTTTTGATGTTCACTGATTTTCCTGGAATGGATTTCAAATTGAAATATCAGAAACTGTAAGGACTAGTACATAGGGGACAGTGGAATCTAGATTTTGCAATGCTGAGTGTTTGGAAGCTGGCTTGCATGTTATGTGGTAGCAAACTGGGAATTAGGCCATGGAAAACTAGGAATTTCATTCTTTCCTTTATTTATTTTGGCTGTCTGCTATAGATTTGTTGTTGCAATGTAAAAGTCAATGTTTTATGCTCTATTATGTTTAACTCCTGTTTGTTGCACACATTTGCTTCAATTTCTCTGCAAATACCTTGATAGTCACTTAATTATCATCCCTGCTTATGCTTTTTGATTTACACCCCTACCATGGCAGGCTTATCGGTCAAGCATGTTGAAATCTTTCAAGAAAACTGTTGAGGAAGGAGTTTTCACCTTTATTATTGGTATGCATCACATAAAAAATACAGGAGATAGATTATTCTTGAAACAGATGAATTCCACTTTCGAGGATATGAACTTTATTGAGGTCATTGTTTTGCTCTGAATGGAAAATTCTGCATTTTGTCCTGAGTTGCATACTCATTTATTGTGACATTATTTGTTGATTTCTCCTTAATAGAATTGCAACAAGTACTGATTCAGTGACTTGATCTGCTTTGGTAGATGTGTTCATGTGAAATTACCTAAAGCATCTTTTATTAAGGAAACAGAAAAAAAAAAAAAAAAACTTCTTTCTTAGGTGAATTATAATAACTTGTCTTAAACATAGAGTCAGAGAAAATGGTTGAGGGATCTATGGTGGCTTGTTAAAGAATTTAATAAGTTAAATGATGTAGTTTCGTTTTAGATTAAGTGGTGATGCAGTGCCCATCCACTGCCTTTTTATTCACTAACTACAGATGCAGTTTTTTGTTCGGCAATGTGACCCTTTTCTTGGTGGTATTTGTTCCTCATCTTAGTGGATGACCGCAATCTGCGGGTAGCTGATTTTGCTCAATTTTGGGCAACTGCAAAGGTATACCCTTTTTTCTTTCTCGCAACCTCTGCCATGTGTGCTCAAGACGACTCACAATATCTTTGTAATACTCTCTCCGTATGCTCTCAGAAATAGGTGCAGAGATATGTTTTATGTGCCTTGTGTTTACCTTGTTTTGTAAAGCATATACATTGCACAGTTTCTTATTATGATTTTGTATGGAAAACTAGCAAACAAAAGGGTATAGGATAAGAAGTAATGTAACATTTAGTATTAATAGTAATTGCAAATAACTAGACTGAACCACGAAAGTGCTCTATATATTATGCTCCCTAGCTGTTTGTCTTGTTTAATGGCAGAGGCCAATTAGTAGCTGACCAAGGAGATGGGGCTAAGATGTGGAGTGTAGGGTTTACTTGGTTTACAGTAGAAGAAACAAAAGAGTAACTAGGCCAGGACATGTAGGCTATTCTGTTATTTTCTATTTTGTATGTGGGATCATGATTTTCCTTTCTGTTATTGCTTTTACTTCTAGCCTGGGCAGGTATAGTTTTTTCTGTGGAGCATAGCTCTTGGGGTTGGGGTAGGGAGTTTACCATTTTTTGGTGTAATTCCCCTACATTCCTATCTTTTTCCTAGTTCAATAGGACTGTTCATACATTTGGCTCCCATCATGAGACTCTGTATTACCCATGTTATGCACAAGGCTGTTAAACACAATAGATATCAAACTGTTACCTACTTACCTTAAATGTGGAGGTTGATGCTACTTCCTGTACCATGTGCTGCCTCCTACTGAAGTTCCTGCCTACATGTATTTGACGTAAAAGCTGATTTCAGTTGAAGTGCATGCATGAATGCTAGTAGCCTCTGTAAAGTTCTAGTGACTAATACTTTGTTTATGCCTAAAAAGACTTGAATTAAAGTGAAGGAACATGAGATCTGTCTGCTCAATATGTTTCCTTTGCTGATGGATATTCCTCTTTCTTTCAGAGATCGGGGTATGAAGTTTATATTTTGGAAGCTACATACAAGGACCCTGCGGTGCGTCTATTTGTTCTTTCCCCTGAGCAACTTCGAGTATCTTTTTATTTTTCTTTTACCTTAAAACCAGCTGACAATTTTGTACTATAACAAAGTGCTTTTCCATCTTTCTTTCCTGTTGCCCTTTCAAAACATGTGATTAGTTTTTTGTATATTGCATTTTTCATTTTTTGTTGTTTTTGTGGTGATTGATGACGAGTCCTCTTATCTAAGCAAAGTGTATTCTACAGTTACGTGGGTTTGATATTTTTCTTTATTCAGGGTTGTGCAGCGAGGAATGTCCATGGATTTACACAGGAAGACATAGAAAAGATGTCTAAGCAATGGGAAGAAGCTCCATCCATGTATCTGCAGCTTGATGTGAAGGTTTTCTGTAATTTTGGTGTTATTTGGTCTAAAGTGATGTCATTATTGAGCTATAATTTAACATTAGTTTAACCTGTATTCTAACTAGTGTCTTCATTGTTTCTCTCTTACCGACTTGACAGTCATTATTTCATGGAGATGATCTAAAGGAAAGCAGAATAAAGGAGGTAATTGTAACATTTGCACACATTTATCTCTAGTCTCTGTAATTTGAGTGTTAAGAGGCCAAGTTTCAAGTGTTCTTCAAATTTTTGGAGTGTGGGTTAAAGATGAAATTTTATGGGAGAGACGATAGGAGAGGCATGACAAAGGGAAGATAATATCTCCTGGAAAAAGATACAGAGAAAGTAGAGTCACAGATGCCACAAAATGCAAGAAACTTGTGCAACCTCCCCGTGAATCAGAAATAGCAACCCCCTTGAAACTGCCTTGATCAGAACACAACAAATTGTTTCAAGAGAATGTGGGCTTACTCTTTGTCAAAGCTTTTAAATTGTTTCAAGAGAAACTGCTTCAAAATTTAAGGACACTCAATGTTACAAATATTTCCAGAAAAAATTATTCTATAGCAGAACAAAATAACTGTTGTAAAAGTATATAAGCTTTGGCTTCTCATCTAGGTCTAGCTCTACATGACATACTTGATACATGCAATGGTAAAGAGCTGTGTGCAGCAAATGAACTCAGTCTAGATGTGGAAAAGACATGCTGGGATTTAGCAAGCATACATCTGTGTAGTTGTTACCATGCTTTATTTTTTGGTTACATCTAGAGAACATATTTAATCCAGTAACCAATTATACTTTTTTTTATTACTTGTATTAAATTATTATATAACAAATAAAATGTTTAAAACAAATCTCATGTATATTCACAATTAATTGAAATCTGTTAAAATATAAGTGTTCAAAAATTTTATATTATTACCAGTTATCATCCATAAATATCTGTAAGTTAATATCTTACAGGTTTTTTGGTGATCTGTCATTGTCATGTGTTTGAAACATCATCAATGGAGTAGTTTCTAATTGACTGATATGTGTGGTTGATGGATGAATAATAAAACCATAAATTAGTTATTTTAATGCTGCTGTTATTTAGGTTCAATAATCTGTGTGGTTTTCTGAGCACTAATTATTGGTTCATCTAAGTGTTAGGGTCTTCACCTGTATGTTGTGTTTATAAGAGTGTGATTGACGCAGGTAGATTATCTTTAATAGTAAATTGTTCTATAAAAAAAAATTGGAAAAATATCTGGGTTTCACTATGTAATTATTTGCTTAGTCATATGGTTATAATAATAACTATGTCTGTTTTAATTTGTAGTATACCTTATGGTTTTGACTTCCTAAATGTTATATGTGGGACATGTGCTGGCCAAATACCTAAAAGCTGTTTATTTGATTTTATTGCTGCAGATGCTTTCATATTTTAAATGAGAAATTCAGTTTGTTTAATATTAAAAATTTTCAAGCTGTCTGCCTGGACTGACTGGTTTCATATTGCATATATTTCAGGTTGACATGGATATGGAAGATGATATGGGTGATGCATTTCCTCTTGTTCAAGGAAGAGAAGCTGAGAAAGTTGTTGACCCTCCTGTTGGGGAAGATGCAAGTATGGTGCTTTAACCCATTACTATTTGTTTGTGGCTTTGTTTTAGCTATACTGTTAACGTGACTTTTTTGTGGTGAATATCATCACTGATACCCAACTCTAATTTTGTTGTGTATCTTATTTTTATTTTATTTTTTTAATATATATTGGATGAGATTGGCTGAGATAGAGTTGCTATTTTGATATGCCTAACCTGGCTAAAAATAAGACCTTAAGTATTTAAGTTAACACTGGTGTCTATCCTGATTTTTTTTTTCCCCTCCTTTCATGTTAATCCCTTTTCACCCCTTTATCCATGTTTCAAAAGAACAGCTTGACAAAGTCATTTATACTTGGGGGATAATGTACAATGTCTTCTAGTATTGACAATTGGCTTGATATAAAAATCCATTTAGGGAGGACATGGTTAGAAGGAAACCAAGGAAATTTAGACCTATTTTATTTGATGTATTTTGTACACAATGTAAACAATTTGTTTTCAATACTGTGTTGCTGTCACTTGTCCATGAACTTCGTTAGCATGAGAAATACTAACCTCTCTTCAATGGAATATTCTGTATTTTATGTATGTATGATTATATAGTGGAGGTTTACTGCATTTTTATATGGGGTTTCTGGAGTATTTCACTCTTCCAGTGCATGTTCACCATATCCGTAGTTTCATGCATATTGTTTTCAATTTTCATTATATTTTAAACATAAACTTGTGGGTTAGCGAAGTTTTAGGTTATGCCCTTTCTTAGTAATGTGTAAAATTATGATATCAATCCTTCCCACCCTTTAAATGAAAATGCATTTATTTTCAACTGTTTATCGAAATTAAACATTTTATGCTATGTAATACCATCCCTGGATTATAATTTGATTAACATTATCTGGGTCGGTTTCACTTCCATCTTTGTCATGTGCTTTCCGTTTGATCAACCCTTCAAAATTTAGGTGTGCTAAAGGCTGGGAAGAGTTGGGATGCTGAAAGGGAACATCCGACAGAAGTCAGGGAATTGGGTAAAAGCAAATGGTCAGAAGATTTCGGTGAAGATGACAATGATCAAACTGAAGGTATGAAGGGCAATATTAATGCTCTGTCTGGGTTAATTCATCAATATGGCAAGCAACGAAAATCTGTACATTGGGGTGATCAGGTATGATATGTATTTGATGCCCTTATCTGAAAGCTGTGAAAGTACTATTTTGAAGTCTCTTTCGATCTTAATTTTGGTACCAAAAGTTTCTTTATTGTTTAAGTTCCTCTGGAAAGGAGGAAGGGGTTGGGGATGGTGCAGGGATTGAACCCATGACATCAAGTGCTCTATGGTAAAGACCGTGTGAGCTATCAGCTCAGTGGCATCTTTTTTTCTTTTCTTAATTTCTTCTCTTGCTTGCTTGAGGCATTGAGTTTGAGGCTACTGAAATATAGAAAAAAGGGAAATGAGTTAAAACCGTTATATTTAAGAGATAATTTCAATTATTAGGTTTTGATGTGTGTTGAAACACGGCTACAACAAACAGTGGTAAAACCTGCTTTTGTGGCTTTCATTACATAGCCATTTCCTTAATTTCCGCCCCCCCGCTCCCCTTGCTTTGCAATCATCTTTTCAGGGTGGCAAGACAGGGTTTTCAATAGGGGCTGCAAGGAAGGTAAATGCTTTGTCTTTAGTAATCGGACCTGGTGCTGGATACAACCTGGTTAGTTGTTTGTCTTGATGCTTCTTAAATTTCCGGAACAGCATTTGCTATTATTTAGTTGTCCTTTTCTTTTATGCTGTTAATTCTGATAATAATCCATCTTTTTTCCGAAGTTAATCTGTTGTATGTTTAAGAACTCTATTTTCTAATTTGACCCAAGTTGAAGATATTTTTCACCAAGGATTTTATTTTGCTTTTTCATGGTGAAGATACCACCTGTATATAATAAACACGTGCATTTTATATTTATGTACAGAAGTCTAATCCATTACCTGAAGAGGATAGTCCAACCCGTAATAGTTTTGAGTCAAAGAAGCATAACATATTTCAAGAGCGGATCCGGGCTGAACGTGAATCTTTCAAAGCTGTTTTTGATAGGAGACGGCAAAGGATTGGTGGACTTGATGTGGAGGAGGACTAAAATACAATTTAGGGTGTGGGGAGGAGGACTTGATGTGTGCAAACTTAATCCCTCCCCCCATTGCAATGAGCTCATGTATTAGACTAGTTTGGTTGGCTGGAAAAAGAACGTCATGCCCCCATTCAAGGATTAATATGAAATTTGTATATACGATGTAGGTTTTTCTTTCCTTATACTATTCAACACCTTATTTGACATTTATGACATAAATTACAATTACTCTGAAAAAAGAAAATATTTTCGGTTTAAAAAGGAAATACGTACACAACTGGGTGATGTTAATTTCATAGGTACAAATATGAAATGCGTTTGACATAACCCAATGCGCCGAGAAAATTTGCTTGTTTTGACTCGGTAATTATATTTTAAATTTTTTTGACACCAACCTCTATTTTAAATTATGATCAAAAGGAAAATAAAAGGAAAACAGTGAAGTGGAGAAGCAAGGCTTGGGTTATACTTAGCTTCTGCTACGACCTGGATCGCTGCATTTGGTGAAAATTTAAGACATCTTTTCCAAAAGACGCAATCATTATGAAGCACAAGAGTGTCACAGACAATTTCGGCAACCTATCATACACAAGTCATTGTTAACATTTTTGAATATATGAAAGTATTTTGTTATTTGGCGCCACCCTTGATATTCGTGGAGGAACGCCCCTTGTGAGAACTGAGAAGCAGCAGCGAAGTTTCGTTCTAGACTGCTTATCAGTTTTAGTGGCAAATACATCTTCACTATGGCGAGGTGACTGGGTCTCCCATAAAAAATATCAACACCACCAAATATAGGAGGATATGTGTATAACAATCATTGCATACGCCAGCAAAAACAAAATTACCTTTATTTTTTTTTCCTCCTAAATTGAAAAGCATGAGATGGAATGATAATTTTGCTCCATTTTATCATAACAACATATTTGAACAATGGAATTAATGTTTTGATCTATTATTTTTCATTCAACTTTATTCCATTTTATTGTGCACCGGGGGTTACCACACACATACACATGTCTCCACATTGCTAAGATATTGCCCGCTTTAGGTCCAAGCCCTCACGATTTTGCTTTTGGACATCCTTCAAAAAGTCTCTCTATCAATGGAGACAACTGTGTGTATATAAACCTATGTTCATCCTCTTTTTTGAACGATGCCCATCAAACAAAGGACTATCGACAAAAAGGATCCCAAACTTGGATCCACCTACCAGTCCCCGGATCATACCATCGGCTCTGATACCACTTGTTGTTTACCGGGGGTTACCACACACATACACATGTCTCCACATTGCTAAGATATTGCCCGCTTTAGGTCCAAGCCCTCACGATTTTGCTTTTGGACATCATTCAAAAAGTCTCTCTATCAATGGAGACAACTGTGTGTATATAAACCTATGTTCATCCTCTTTTTTGAACGATGCCCATCAAACAAAGGACTTTCGACAAAAGGGATCCCAAACTTGGATCCACCTACCAGTCACCGGATCATACCATCGGCTCTGATACCACTTGTTGTGTACCGGGGGTTACCACACACATACACATGTCTTCACATTGGTAAGATATTATTCGCTTTGGGCCCAAGTCCTCACGATTTTACTTTTGGACATCATTCAAAAGGCCTCTCTATCAATGGAGACAACTGTGTGTATATAAATCCATGTCCATCCTCTTTTTGAACACCGGATCATACCATCGGCTCTGATACCACTTGTTGTGTACCGGGGGTTACCACACACATACACATGTCTTCACATTGGTAAGATATTGTTCGCTTTGGGCCCAAGTCCTCACGGTTTTGCTTTTGAACATTACCTAAAAGACCTCTCTATCAATGGAGACAACTGTGTGTATATAAATCCATGTCCATCCTCTTTTTGAACGATGCCCCTCAAACAAAGGACTTTTGACAAAAGGAATCTCAAACTTGGATCCACCTGCTAGTCACCAGATCATACCATCGGCTCTGATACCACTTGTTGTGTACCGGGGGTTACCACACACATACACATGTCTCTTTTTGAACACCGGATCATACCATCGGCTCTGATACCACTTGTTGTGTACCGGGGGTTACCACACACATACATATGTCTTCATGTTGGTAAGATATTGTTCGCTTTGGGCCCAAGTCCTCACGGTTTTGCTTTTGAACATTACCTAAAAGACCTCTCTACTAATGGAGACAACTGTGTGTATATAAACTCATGTCCATTCTCTTGTTTGAACGATGTGAGACTTTGCTTGCATCCCAACACATTCAGTTTCATCACAAATCCTTCCACCAATACAAACATGACTTTCATTTTTTTTTTTTGCCTCTTTAAAGGAGACCATAGAACATTGCTAATGTGTTTGGATTACGTTCATGATAAGAAATAATCAATTATTTTTTCATGAAGACAAAATAATAAATAATTACTTTGACTTTTTCATTATATCAACGTTATTTTAGTGGTAAAATTGATTTCTGAATGTTATGCAAATACACTATACAAACATGGTGAAAATTGTGCGTATTGAAAGAAAATCTCCTAAAGAAGGAAAAATTCAAAATAATATTTTCACCATAGTCGAACTGGCTATTGTTTCTAAATTCCAAACTTATCATTTGCATTTACTTTTGGAATAAGAAATCCCTTATTTCATGACATTGGTTCCAGTCAGTCACGTGTTATAACGTCACAAACTTAGCTTGCTGCCATAAGCACATAAGAATATCTCCCCCTTATTAATTCAATACTTAATAATTCATAGTCCTCTAAGTAGAGCATATATCCAAACAGAAATTAACAATTTGCAGCGTCTAATTTTTAATTTTAATTTTTAAAAGTATTTATTTAGGTAATAATCAGACAATGACAATGATGGAAGATGCTTAAAAACCAAGTTAATTTTTTTAATAATGAAGTTCACTATTTTTAATAGATAAAATTCTCAATGTTACATTTACTATTTGTTTAATGACTTTTGTATTTTCAATATATGAGATCACTTTCCCCCGTGTAAAAAAAAAAAAAACATAAGGACAGATGCTAACAAAACCTAAATAAAACAAAATTTACTTAGCGTGGTCCCTGTAAGATTAGAATAATCCAAAAGAAATAGTAGAACGAAACAATGAAATATCGGTTGGAGAGACTCCGCCGAAAGAGGAATAGTCTGATTTTGCACATGTAATAGGTTAATACCCCCCAAAAATTTCACGCTCAAGTTTCGAATATCAATGTTCAAGCAAGTAAAGCAACCCAACCATGAAGGAAACATGAAACCCAAAGCACGCAATTATACGATATAAATATATATGCCATCTGCACTCTGTAGGTTGCATGCAAATTATAACATTCACGTTTCTTGCAATCTTGAGGTTCATATTAGTTGTTAGTTGGCGTCCTGAATGGCCAGTTCTAGAGGTACTACAAGGGTTGGAGTAAGAACAAGGGCACCAACTCCAGTTGTTGAAGAGACAGTACCTAATTCTGGATGGACAGAGGATTCTGCGGGTCATTACCTTCTTGTGGATCTTCCCGGTATTGCATCAAACACCTAATTCACTTTTCAACAGGAAAACGAATAGAATATGAGTATCAATTGTGAAGAATTTAATAAATCCCATAGAGAGACCAACGTTAATTTAGTTTTACTTTTTGTCTCGCTTCTTTTAAGAATCACCCAACCGAAAAACCTGTCTGCTTTTAACGTGCATGGGTGCTATTTTTCTTTCTACCGAAAAACTATTTAGTTAGTGGTAACATTTACAATTAGTAGGACTTATTGTACAGTCCTCAATAAGTATTGATGCTGCGAAAACAAAAATAACCCGCGATTTTTTTTTATCATGCTTCTTCAGAATTCAGGAGGGAAGAGGTGAAGCTCCAGGTTGATAGCTATGGCCGTATTCTTGTATCGGGAGAAAGGCAAGTGAATGAGTGGAAACATGTTCAATTTCGGCTGAATTTTCCGGAACCAGTGGACTCTGATATGGATAAGATAACTGGGAAGTTTGATGGTGGAGTCCTTTATGTCACTGTTCCCAAGCGAGTCACACAACAGAACAAGGAAAGCGAGGCTGCAAAAGCTGGAAATAGCCAAGTTGAAAGAGCAGAAAATGATAGCCATAATAGAAATGGCGAAGATGAAAAAGCAGAAGAAAATGATAGCCATCAACATGGAAATGGCAAAGTTGAAAGATTAGAAGAAAATGATAGGCAAGCACCCAATAATGCTGATGTGGGGAGGAGAGATCCCAGCCAACATGACAACCATGCAGGGCAAGAAATAAAAAGAAATGAAAATGAGCACATCGGAGATTTTCCTGAACAAGTAATGAGGAATTGGGATCAAGAATCCATGTTAAGAACTGCAGCGGGGATTTTGAGGAAAAACAAAGGAATTGTAATAACAGCTGTTATAGCCTTTTCCTTGGGGTTGTTAATATCTCGCAAATTCAACACCACCTAAGTTCTCAGACCTGAATCCATAAATGTATATCCCTCACTTCAGGCCACGAGCCTTTTACATGCGTATGTAAATACAATAAAGTATCATGCAGATATTCAAACATTAATAATAAAGTCTCTGCTTATTTCTTTTTTCTTTCCAATTTTAATATCTGTATCCATAGTGTGATTTGATTTAGGACGTCATCAATCCTCTATCACATTTATAACAATAGAGGGCTCAATAGGTTCCTGTCTATACCTCAATATACCCCATCATTACCATTAGATTTGCTCAATTCTCATACTATGCTTTAATATCAAACGGCTTACCATATGGAAGACTCAAAGTCTCACCTCGCAATTAATTCGCATAGAATTTCGGATCTAATTGCTTTAATGTCTTTGACTCTTTGTCAACGAGGATATATAATTTTATCATTAGTTTATGGCATTCTGATCAAAGTCAAGAACTTGTCTTTTCAGTTCTAATAATCTAATCTAAACAAAGTATTTTAAACCCACTCCAAATTTATCTCTGTATCCTCGGCCACCGACTGAGTAAAAAGAGAGAATCAAAAAAAGAGGTAATGCTTATCCATGAATAGTAGATACAACAGGTGCATCTCATCAAGGCAGTCTTAGAGAAGATGCAATCTCAATAAGGTTATCTTCCTTGATAACCTTCCTCCAAGTTCGTTCCTTCTCTCAAGCTACTATTCAATAATGTTATGTGGCTTTCTATACTGTGATGAATCCTGAAAAAAGTAAAGTCACAAACCATCCGACATCACCTCATCTTTTCAACACCTCCTTTGCATATGGTTTTTTTAATCTACAGTGTTTTTTCACTAATCTCATCCTGTACCTTGATCCAAATTATGCTGATTTAGAAGAGCATCATATCATCAAAATTTACTTTTATCTTACAGGATCAGATTCTACAACTACTAGTACTCCACCAATTTAAAAAGAGCAAAAGAGCGCATAGGATGTTGATTCGGGAAAGAGAAGCTTCTTTGGCATCTGTGCCATAAAGTTGAGAGTTGTGACCTAATGTTCCTAACTTCTGACCGCTTATCCAACATAACAAAATAAAGTTTCCCCTTCCTTATCTTAACAGAGAGGCTGAAGCACTTTGCTTGCTGAACTTAAATTGTTTGGCTGCTGCTTCCAGTCACATAAACTATTTTCCTTCCTATTCATGCTTTCTTTTAACACATATTAGTATACAACCTTCGAAAACAATTTACAAATTTCATATTAAAAGGTAGATGATGCATAAAAATTAAACAATACCTCATGAGCCAAATTCGAAATGCTGAAAAGAAAGAACTTGTTGAACACAGTTGGGATATAGTGAAATTGTACCTCTGGGAGCTTCCCGAACACTAGTATAACACTAAAAGACATTAGACAATAGTTGCTTGACTTAGAAAAGGAAAGGTGCTTAGAGTTTTGAGGTTTGGATGTTGACAAGCGATGCATGGTGAAGAAGAATAAGGAACCAAAGGAGAGGGGGTATAAAGGTGATGCTTTGTCTTCGAACTTTATTCAAAATGCAAGTGCTTTTTGACAAAAAGGAAGGGCCCACGGTTGGGACGCGGAATCATGTGCTTCCTGTCAAGGCTTTTAACCTTCCTTTGACAATTTTTTATAAAGAGCCTCTATAGTTAAGGAGGGCTAATTACAAGAATATTTTCAAACATTGTTACAAAGAGTGATGGACATAAGGTTTTAGATATTGCTATTTGTACAGTCTTTTTAAGCTTTAAGATCTCAGTGTCATGTATGCTTGTTCTTGAATGTAAGTATCATATATCACTGTTCAATAGTACCTGTAAACCAATAACTTTATAGTACTAAATCAAGAGGTCTAAAGTTAAGAAATGGTGAACAAAAGTTAAGTTCCTCCATGAGCCTCTCTTACTTATTGTTGAAGGGGAAGGGAATAAAAAAAAAAAAGATTTTGTGAAATTGATATTAAGATATAGGGAAAATTTTAGTAAATCCAAAATTTGAAACATTATTACACAAAAAGCACAAACTTATCTCTCAACTAAAATAAAATGTAATGATCACAAATTGCACATGTGCATTAGCATCCATATCCTAAACCTACATATAGAAATTTAGAATCAGGACTTTTTGTCTGTGTTTGGGAGATTGGTGCGAGAGAGAGAGAGAGTATTAGGAATAGAAAAAGAGAGATGCTTGGGTCATTCTTGCAAGCCATTGAAATAAATAATAAAATATTAATTATAAAAAAACATTGAAAAAAAGAAGAGGTAGATAAGGAAATCTGAATGGAGGGAATTAGAAAAAGTTGGAAAGAAATCCTTGGCGAGAGAGCATGGAATCTAATCTCCTACTGTCATCACAACAAAGTTTAAAACCATCCTCCATCCAAAATAAATAAATAAATAATTAAAAACAAAAAGCACCGCACAACACAAAACGAACCTCACCTCAACTCTCAACACTACCGCTATCAACGGGCACAGTGCGTGTGAGAGAAGATGAGAAGATGACGACGCCGTTTCAGCAACCACCGCAAACCGTACGGAGGCTGGTCGTGGAAGTAATCGACGCGCGCAACCTGCTCCCGAAGGATGGACAAGGTAGCTCAAGCCCTTACGTGGTGGCGGACTTCGACGGCCAGAGAAAGCGAACCAACACCCGCTTCAAGGAGCTCAACCCGGTCTGGAACGAGCCTCTCGATTTCATCGTCTCCGACCCTGACAACATGGACTTCGAGGAGCTCGAAGTGGAGGTCTACAACGACAAGAAGTTCGGCAACGGAAGCGGCCGCAAGAACCACTTCCTCGGGAGAGTTAAACTCTACGGAACGCAGTTTTCCAGAAGAGGCGAAGAAGCTCTCGTCTACTACACGCTCGAGAAGAGGAGCGTCTTCAGTTGGATACGCGGCGAAATTGGCCTCAGGATTTATTACTACGATGAGATGCTAGTTGAAGACGACAAACCACCGCCGCAACAACAGGAGGAGCAACCTGAGCAGAACAAGCCGCCGCCGGGAGCGGCTGGGGG